TTGTATAAATGAATTAAACATCAAGATTGGTGTTTAATTCATAAAAGTATATTTTTTATGATGTTAGTGGATTTAGTTTCAGGTGAGGTGGAACCAAAATATGTCAACCTGATTTATGTTTTACTGTCAAATATCAGTATCGCCTCAACAATCCACCGTCGTTTCATTTTAAGGATTCAACACAACTTCTTCAGACGGGACAATTTATCAAATTGTCATTTTTGGCTCCAGGGTGAACTCTTTAAACGCTGGACGGCTCTGTTTGTTGTTTGTGTGTCTCAGGTGTGTCAGACGTCAGGTAAGGTGCTGTTCAGCTCGTCTGCCGGGATCCACAGAGTCAGTGAGCTGAAGGCTGCAGAGAGACTCTTCCTGCTGCTAAGGAGAGACTCACCTGTTCGTCTGTCTGCCCACAGCGGCCCAGGTACAACCAGATGACCTCTTTAACGTTTCAAATAATAATAATGGCATCATAATAATAACAAATATAACAAAACTTCTATGGGATTCAGTGCCTGATTAACTTTTATGTTTTTGACTTTTCTTTTTTCTCTGTAATGTTCGCAGCAAAAGCCGCCTCTGAGCTTCAGTCCAGAGTGTTGGGCGACATCAGTCAGTGGACCGGTGCTGCAGCGACGTGGAGCCGCCTGCAGGGGGAGCTGTCGGGCAGAAGGGTGACCGACCACATGCCAAGGAGGGAGGAGGGGAGAGGGAATGAGGAGGGGAGGCAGGGAGAGACAGAGCAGAGAGATGAGGAGTCGAGCAGAGGAACCTGTGGAGTCAACGCCCAGAGGATGAAGAGAAAGAGGGATGAAGAAGAAAAGGAGTCTAGTAGTGCAGAGGAAAGGAGGACATCTGAGAAAAAGAGAGGATCAGCTGGTGTCCAGGAAACATCAGTTGGTGACCACGATGAGGAGAGAAGCTGCAGGGAGATGGATGACATGACGGAGGACAAAGTGGAACATGGTATTCAAATGAATTCATACTTCTTCTCTTTTAATCCAACGTTATTTAAGTTTCTGACTCAGTGTTTTTTGTTGCTTGCCTTTGTCGTCACATAATAAAGTGAAGCCGACTGCAGGAAGACTGCAACCCAGCAGGACCGAACCAGACCCGTCTGCTCCAGACCGGCTCTCTTTCAGGGTCAGCTGCAAGTGTACTGGATCTCTGTCCCGGTACTTCAGCTCACAGGTAGTGGACCTTAGCATGCACATGAAGGGTAACGTCTCTGCACACAGACGCATGAAGTGTTCAGAGGACTAGTGTGTGTGTGTCTTTATTCAGGAGGTGAGCAGAGTGATCGGAGGAGGTCTGAGCAGACTGCTGGGCTGGAAGGCTGATCTGAAGAACCCACAACTGGAGGTAAAAACCTTCTTCTACTGAGTTCTGAATCTTTGGGTTGATTTATGCATCAGTCCAGTTTTATTCATGTAGCTCCTTTTTAAACTAATTAAACACAATTCAAAGAGTTTTACAACAGATTGACAAGACGAAACTGGAGAGAAGTTGAAGACACTAATGCGCACCAAATAAAGTTAAGGAAGATAGATACAACACTGAATTAATTAATTGTGTTAAAACAGTCAAATTTGAGTGAAATTAAATAAAAATTAAATATGTATAAACACTAAAACTATAGCATAAAAACACATTAGACGCTGTGTAAAATCTGACTTAATGAAAAGCAATAACAATAGAAAACTTAACATTTTTAAACGCTACTATTAGACTTAATAGATGGGTTTTTAGTTTCTGTTTTAAAACATCAATATGTTCTGAGAGGTCTGGTCATGTGGTGCCTTATTAACTAATAATAAAAAACCTTTTAAATCAATACATCAACTGTATTTATCTCTTAATAACGCTGAGCAGACGCTCTTTGCTCTCTTGACTTTGACAAAATAAAACGTCGTTGGCTGTTTGTTTGTGTCTTCAGGTAAACGTTTCTCTGAGTGATGACCACTTCCTGTTGGGCTTTCCTTTAACCAGGTGAAACACTTTCTCTACATTTAACTCTGGAACTAGTTTTAATAACTAATGAATAGTAATAATAATAATAATGCCAAACCTAAATCTTAAACATAGTGGATTCACATTGCAGCTTTAATAATATATAATAAAGAATCATAAGTGATGCGTCTCCTTCAGGTTGCCTCTAGCTAACCGGAGCTACATGAAGACCACAGGACTCAGGTCCACTGTAGCCTGGGCCATGGCCTCACTGGCTCACATACAGGTACTCACACACACACACACACACACACACTCACACTCACACATGTTCCTTTTATGTATCCACTAAAACTCTCAGCGTGATGTTTGTTGTGTAGACGCTGTCGGTGTGTGTGTGCTGAAGCATGTAGCTGTGATTCCTATGTCTGTCCGTTATCTCCTGTTTCACAGCCGGGCTCCTGTGTGGTCGACCCGATGTGTGGAGTAGGAACCATCTTAATAGAAGCAGCTCAGGAGCACCAGGTCAGGACCCGAAGTCTCTCAAGTGTACAAACACTTCAGCTCACTTGTGCAGTTTGTTTCACATGTATCAACGTTAAAAGAAAGGAATATTCTCAGATATGCACTCATATATATCATAGCATTAAGTGTAGATATTGCTACAAAGCGTGTACTTTCTAGTAATAGTACACACTGTAGCATGTACTCTCCTATGATCTGATGCATCGCTCTCGCTGCTTCAGGCCGCGTGTTTCCTGGGTTTGGACATCGATGACGGACAGCTGCAGAAGGCCAATGACAACGTAGAGTTTGCAGAGCTGCCAAACATACAGCTGCTGAAGGCTTCGTCCATGAGTAAGAAACTAACAACGACAGACGTTTGGCACTAAAAACCTTTTGTATTTCTGTCACTAAGCTCATGTTCAGTGGGTGTGTCCATAAAATCTATTTCTAGGGAGGAGTTTACTGTAAAGATGTGTATAACGTAGTGAATTACAGAGTTTTATGTTCCCAAATGAATGAAGTCAAATCAAATCAATCAGCAAAACTGTCACATAAATTGAAATACATTTAAATCATTGTCAGCAAATGTGTCACGCTGTTAATAATGATGTCATTAATATCTGATGAATCTCAGGTGATGGTTCATTTTACTGAATCTCTTTTATTTAGCTGCTTGTTTTGGATATGGCTCAGCGAGTGGGAGCTGAGAGTGAACCCTGCTGGCATGTGTTAAATTACCTCTTGTGTGTGTGTGTGTGTGTGTGTGTGTGTGTGTGTGTGTGTGTGTGT